CATGATCCCAGGGGCCTGGAATGGAGCCCCACATTGGGCTCTCTGCTTGGTGGGAAGCCTGCTTCTCCCTCTCCCATTACCGCTGCTGGTGCTCCCTCTCTCACTGTCTCTCTATATATATCAAATAAATAAATAAAATCTTAAAAAAGAAGAAAATCAATGTAATATACCATATTAACAGAACGAAAGGGGAGAAAGCATGATATGATCATCTCAATGAACAGAAAAAGAATTTTAGAAAATTCAATACCCCTTCACAAAAAACACTCAATAAACTTAGAATAGAAAGAGACTACCTCAACATAATAAAAATCATATATGAAAAATCCACAGTTAACAGGGTATTCAGTGGTGAGAAACTGAAAGCTTTTCCTCTAAGATTAAAACAAGAAAATTATGTTCACTTTTTCCGTTCATATTCATTCATTTTCATTCTTATTCATTCATTTCATCCATTCTAGCCAGATCAATCAGGCAAGAAAAGTTAGAAAGGAAGAAATAAAATTATTTCTATTCAAAAATAATATGATCTTTTATTTAGAAAACCCTGTTACACACACGTGCTTACACACACATAAACTGTTAGAAATAATAAAGTAATTCAGCAAAGGGGCAGAATATAAAATCAACACTCAAAAATCAGTTGTGTTTCTATACACCAACAACAGAAATCTGAAAAAGAAATTAAGAAAACAATTCTATTTCCAAAACACCAAAGAGAATTAAATATTGGGGTACCGGGGGTGCTCAGTCAGTTAAACAGTTTACTCTTGGTTTTAGCTCAGGTTATGATCTCAGGGTTGTGGAATCAAGCCTACATCAGGCTCTGCACACAGCGAGGAGTCTGCTTGGGATTCTCTCCCTCCCTCTCCTTTTGCCCCTCCCCTCTCTCTCTGTCTCAAATAAATAAATTTTTTTAGAAGGAATAAAATACTTAGGAATTAACTTAACCAAGAAGGTGACAGTCTTGTACACTAGAAACTACAAAATATTGTTGAAAGGAATTAAAGAAAACATAAAGAAATGGAAAGACGTCTTGTGTCCACAGATTGGAAGACAATTTTAATGCTACCCAAAGTAATCTACAGAGTCAGTGCAATCCCTATCAAAATCCGAAAGATTTTTTTTTTCAGGAATAGAAAAATCCATCCAAAAATTCATATGAAATTCAAGGATTCCCAAATAACCAAAACAATCTTGAAAAAGACGAACAAATTTGGAAGACTCATACTTCCTGACCTAAAATTCACTGCAAAGCCACAATAATCAAAACAATGTAGAGCTGGCATAAAGTCAAGCATATAGATCAAGGTAATAAAATAGAGATCCCAAAAATAAACCCTTGCATATAAAAATCAAGTGATTTTTTTTTTTTTTTGCAGGCATGCCAAGATGATTCAGTGGGGAAAGCATAATCTTTTAAACAAATGGTGCTAGGAAAACTAGATATCCACAGATAAAAGAATGAAGTTATATCCTTATTTAACACCATTTACAAAAATTAAGTCAAAATGGATAAAAGATTTAAAGATTAGGAGCTATAACTATGCAACTCTCAGAAGAGAACATGGGGGAAATCTTCATGACATTGAACTTGGCAGTGATTTCTTGGATATGACATCATATCCAAGAGCACAGGCAACAAAAGCAAAAATAGAAAACTGGATTTTATCAAAATTAAAACTTGTTGCATCAATAGACACTAACAGAGTAAAAATCAACCCACAGATTGGGAGAAAATATTTGCAAATCACATATCTGATAAAAGATTAATATCAAATATGTAGAGAATTCCTAGAAGTGAATGACAGCAGAATACCCAATTCAAAAATGAGCAACAGACATTACTCTAAAGAAGATATATACAAATGGCCAATAAGCACAAGAAAAGAGGTTCACCAGCATTAATAATTAGGGAAATACAAATCAAAAATACTCATTTGGTTTTGTACTCATTAGGATGGCTATTTTTTTTAAGATTTTATTTATTTATTTGACAGAGAGAGAGAGAGATCACAAGTAGGCAGAGCAGCAGGCAGAGAGAGAGGGAGAAGCAGGCTCCCTGCTGAGCAGAGAGCCCAACATGGGGCTCAATCCCAGGAACCTGAGATCATGACCTGAGCTGAAGAAGGAGGCTTAACCCACTGAGCCACCCAGGCGCCCCTAGGATGGCTATTATCAACAAACAGAACACAAATGTTAGCGAGGATGTGTAGAAATTGGAACCCTGTGTACTACTGGTGGGAATGTAAAATGGTGCAGCTGCTCCAGAAAACAGTAAGGCAGTTTCTCAAAAAAAACCAGAATTACCATTTGATGCAACACTCCTTTTGGTTATATACACCAAAGAATTGAAAGCAGGAACCCAAAGAGTTATTTGTATACCAAAGTTTGTAACAGCATGGTTCACATAGCCAAAGGTTGAAACAATCAAAAGGTCCATGGACAGATGAGTGGATAAACAAAATGTAGCATATTATATGTAGTGTGTGTCATATATATTTCTGCCTTAAAAGGAAAGAAATTGATACATGCTACAACATGGGTGAAGCTTGAAGACATTATGCTAATGGAAATAAGCTGGACACAAAAGGACAGATATTGTATGATTCCACTTTTATGAGATACCTCGAGTAGTTAAATTTATAGACAGAATCTAGAAAAGTGGTTACCAGGAGCTGGGGGACCGAGGAATGTGTCGTTACTGCTTGATGGGTATAGAGTTTCAGTATAGGATGATGAAAAAGCTCTGGAGATAGATGGTGGTAATGACGGTACATTAATGTGAACGTAATTGATACCACTGTTGTATATAATTTAAAATGGTTAAAATGGCAATTTTTATGTTTTCTATATTTTAACACACACACACACACACACACACACACACACACACATCCCATACCACTCTCCAAACTCTTTAACAATATACCATGACTATTTTCCTGGTCCCTATATACAAATCAAATTCAGCCTTTTTAATAACTGCACACTATATCATAAAAGGACATGCTATGCCAGATTTAACCACTCCCACACTACAAACATTTGCTATTATAAATAATGCTGTGGTCCAAATCTTTAAGGTTCATATGATGTATCAGTTCCATACAATGGAGCCTTCAAACTGCAATTACTGGGCAAAGTACATAGTATATTTAGGTCTTTCTTTAATCTACCCTCAACTTTTGTTTATTCATGGTTTAAAGCAAGGAGGAAAGACGCTCTGCATTAGTTAGGTTATGGATTTGGCTGCATACGACAAAAACCTCCAACTGCTGGGACTTATACCAGATATAATTTTATGTCTCTTTCACATAACCACCTGGAGATGGGCATTCCAGGACTGGTACGGAACCCAGCCTTCTTTCATCCCCTTATTCCACCAGTCATTTTCCAAGATGGCTCACTACCACCTCCACATTCCGGTCAGCAGGACAGCAAGGGGAGAGGATGGGCACATCCCCTTCTTTTCTAGACTCCACCCAGCAGTTGCCTGTACCACACTTCCGGCTCTTACCTATTGTCCTGAACTTAGTCATACAACCCATCCTAGCTAAAAGGGAGGCTGGAAAAAATGGGACTCATTCCAGGTGTCCATGTGCCCTATTAGTATCATGATGGCCCAGGGGAGATCAGATAATGGTCAAGTCTGTGATAAGAGCTTCCAAAAGAACAGCCCATTATGTCCCCAGTATTTATAAAGCAAACAATTTCCCATTGAATTTAATTAAAAAGCCATCCTTGTGTTTATCAAGACCTGCATACACTTGGATCTGTTTCTAGACACTAATCTGTTTCATTGTTATATTAAATGGTTTTATCATAATTGGTAGCTGTTCTTGTAATAATTTATGGCTGTTGATATATTAATTACTTATTTTTTGTTAACTGATTGAAGCTACTTGATTTGTGTTGTTTGTACAGATCAAGTTAAGGACAGTCAAACTTAATTTGCAAAAACTAGTTTGTCCTGGCACTTGGATATTATAATTTGAGGCAGGTATAATTTTCTTAGTTCCAATTTTTCAATGTTAAGAAGCATCTCTACCCAGCAGTAACTACAACTGAAAGGTCACACATCTGTTTCATTCCCATAGCCTTAGAGGAAAACATCACTGAAGAGAAAGCCTGACCATTGCAGGGATCTTCTAGCGACAGGGAACAGAGTTTCCCATGGTAACAGACATCCAGGACTCCATGTTCTCACCCATTTCAAAAACAATGGATGTGAGCAAGTGCCAAGATGAGGTCTGGTCGCTAGCTAAATTCCCAAGTTGATGGGAAATAAAAGAGGAGCTCTCCCAGCTCCTGGGGCTGGCACACAATCCATCTGAATTGCGTGGCTCAATTATCCTTTTAACTGATAGCAGCACCTCTCTGCCATTATCTTCCATCAGGCCTCATTCACTCTGTCTCATAGAGGAAAGACTTGCTCAGGTTAATGCCTTATTCTCAGAAGCGCCTTCATTTGACTTTATAGAAAAGAAAGGTTACTTGATCAAAAGAGCTGTAGTTGGGATCTGGTCCCCTGCCGCCCTGCTCCTGTATATCCTTCGCCTTTCTTTAAAACCTACGTGGACCATCTTGTCCATGAAGGCTTTCTTGGTTTCCAGCACTGACAACAACGGAACAAGCTGGAAGGCATCTTAGAGATCTAGAAGCGAGGTTCTCAACCCTGACTTCCTGCGGTCACCTAGGTAACTTTTATAACAGGTCCTTCTGCCCTCACTCCTTCCCAGATTCGGATCGGTAGGTCTGACGTGGAGCCTTAGCTCTTGCTAAGGGGGAAGTTTTTAACTTCCGCAGGGTGTTATGAGTAAGAGTAGGAAACTACGAGGCCAACCCCTTACAGATGAGGGCACTGAGCCTGCACGATACTACAAAGAAAGTCGCGCATTTCTTCGTCGGAAGCGAGCCCGTTCCAGCAGCGGCTTTCCTTCGCAGCTCTTTCTCCAGTGCCTAGACACGTGCGGATCTAACATGCGACAGATCTGCGTGTGACCCTAAGCTAAAACCAGAAAATCGGACTCTGGTCCAGGATATGACTCCACAGCATTCCTTTGCTGCAGGGAGATCCGGGACTGGGTCGCCGGTGTGTTCACCGCGACTGCCCGCTCGGTAAACAGCCTTCTTGCGACAGCCTCTGCTCGCGAAGCCTCGCCGCCTCCCAGGCTCTGCAAGCGCTTTGCATCATAGGAGGTCACGGTGGCTCGCCGTCCGCCTCGGGTGCCCAGGAACCTGCCGCCGTCCGAGCACACCCCAGGGCGTGTCTTGGGACCGGAGAGCACCTCGGCGGGAGTGTCAGGGGCGTGGAGGGAAGTGCGGGCATTGGGACGGGAGGCCCCGCACGCCCGCGAGGGCGGGGAGAGCCGGCCAGGGGTGGGGAGGGCGGGCTGGCGGCGCTGCCTGGGCCCGGCCGGGCGCTCGCACCTGCCGGGTGGCTGCAGCAGTCGGCGCTCGACGCGGGCAGCGGAAGACTCCGGGGCGCTCGGGGCAGGTGAGCCGCCGCTGCGGGCTGGGGGCTAGGACGGCCAGCGGGCCGGGCCAGGGGACGCGGCCTCCGGAGGGGTGGATGGGGCGGAAGGGTGGAGGGCATGCCGCGGGCAGGGGAGTCGGAGGGGCCGGCCCGCCCAGGACTGGGGCAGCTGATCCGGGAGGCCCCTGAGCGCGCACCGCTGTCGGGTCGCCGGCGGCCGCGGCCGGTCAGGCAGACCGTGCGGCTGGGCCAGAGGAGCTTCGAAGTGCGAAGCCCCCGCCGGCCCATTCCGCTCCGCGGGTCCCAGGATCCGAGGACACCCCGCCCGCACGGCTCCTCTCAGGCCGGAGACCGGCCGGTCCCACGTCGCCGCGGGCACTCAGCGCCCTACCGTCCGGCCTCGTGAGCGCCTGCCCACAAATACGACGAGCCTGAGCCTCTCCCCGAGCCGGGAAAACAACAGGCGACCGGCCGACAAAGCTCCCTGAGTCGTGGCTTAGCTTCCACTGCGGCCTCCGTGGGTAGGGGCCGAGGGGCGACGAGCAGGGCTCGGGGAGGTTTACACTGGACCCAAACATCGTTTCAGGCGACCCGTCTGGGTCCAGAGTCTAACCTCTGGAGATACATTCCAGCCCCAGATGTAGGAAGGATTTGCGCTTCAGAAAGGGAAACCGGTCGCATCATGAAATAGAACTCTGAAAGAATTTTAGACAGCACCTCTTCTGCGAAGCGACCATTTATTCCACATGCCCTCCGGCCATGCCCCTTCACAGCTGCCATGTTCCTCCGCATCCCTGACCGTTTGCCCCCCGGCCCCGCCCACCGCTCCAACAGTGGTTGCTGGGATCATAAAGTGGCGTAAGAATCTTATCTGGGTCTTTGCATTCACTTTAATAGGTAGTACGACTTATTGTTCTAAGAAACATGTACTACTTAACCTGTTCGGTACAGTCTGGAGATTGTTGGTGTCAAACCTTGTGGAGGAGAGTCATAACATACCGGAAGACGTGGGTCGGCGTCACTTCCGGCGGCGCCCTTCTTGGCGGAGGGTTCTTCCGCTTCGTGAGGCTGTGCTTGCCCTCTGCTCCTGGAGTTTCTGGAACAGACGTGGAATTGATACGAAGGCCTTATTGAATATGGTGTCTTGATTTTACAAGGGAGAATGCCTAATGTAAGCAAAAGAGAAGCGTTACTTCTGGTTGGGCATTATTAGTTCTGGTGTGAGGACAGCCACGCATTGTTTCCTTTAAAGGACTTTGGTTTCCTCTCACTTCTTCCATGGGAGGTAGCGACAGTACCACTCCTTACCTCATGCTGCAGGTTTTTCCTTGTATTCTGTGGATTCCTCCCTCACCCTTCTGGTGGGCAATGGTTATGATGACCCAGGTGAACCTATCAAAGCTGGAGTTTGACACCAGTGATTCTATTTGGGGTGTGCCCCAGTATGTCCTTGGTTGTGTCTCTTACCTAATCTTAGCAAATGGCACTGTGAGATGGGGAGAAAAAAGGAGTAAAAAGAAAGACAGACATCTGCTAACTTGAAAGGTAACAACGGCTGCCATGCTTAATCGGTCAAAGTTCAGATATTACTTCTGCTGATTATAATCAAAGGATTATCTCTTTTCCTCAAACGAGTTTGCCTGTTGGAAATGGATAAGGGCAGTTTTACCATATGTAGAAACGCTCCCATAGCCAAAGTTCTGTTATTGCAAAATTTTTTATAATTGCGCTTAAGAGAGTGGAAGTCACCACTGTGTCATCAACTAATGGATGTATACCAGACAGATTTCACATCTGTATTTATTTCTAGAGACAGGTTGCAAGACCCAAAACTAGATCATGCACAGTACTACACAATATCCAGTAGGAACAATTAGAGGAACCAGTAAGTCCTGTAATCCCCACACTTCCTTTGAACTCAGCCTTCCTTTTAACCAGTCTTGTCCCCCAGACCTTTGCTGGGGGCTAGAGGTGATTTGAATTTTAGATCTTTGTCTTTGTCTTCTCTTTTCTCTGTGTCACAGGCTGCACTCCTGAAGGGACAGAGAAACTCAAAACATGTATCCGCCTTATGTGACAAAGAATTTAAACTGAAAATACCAAAGCATACTCATGTATTCCCTTGCAGATTTAGATGTAATGAGCCATTATTGATATCTTGCTGGTATCACATCATAAGAGGGCTTTACAGTGTACAAGGTGATTTCCATAAGCAGCAGTGTGAGGAAAGAGTAATTGCTTAGTTCATAAATGGAGAAGGTGAGTCTTATAATACTGAGTATCTGGCCTGGGATTATCTAACTGGTAAGTGGCAGGGCCAGGACTCAAACCAGAACTTCTTCCATAATATCTCAGTACCCTACACGGTGTCTTTTTATTTGTTCATTTAATTTGAGGATAGGGAGTTGTTTGTGATAGTTTCTCCTGACTTTTTTATTGAATATAGTCTCTGACTTGAACTCTTAGAATCTAAATTCAGAAACATTCTTGTTTGGTAGATTTCATGCGAACCTTTGTTCAGTGTAACTGCAAAAATATTTTAGAGCTGAGCATAGCCTGAAATATTACCAAGCCCAATCTTTTAGTTTTTTTCAAAGAGCAAGGGGAGATACAGGGAAAACTAAGCAAGTACCCAAACCTACTTTGTTAGAAGTTAGGCCTCCCGGCGTTCAGACTCTTTCCAGCATGTGGTCTCTTGAGGATTTCCTAGATATGTATATAAATCAAGTTGTTCAGTTTGATGTACTCTGTTGCTTTGGTGTCTGTGATAGCAAACCATAGCCTCTCTGAATCCTGGACTCAAATATCTGTAGATTCTTCAGCTCTAACTGTATTCCACATTCCATGAAGGAAAGAGCCTAATTGGTTTGGTGCATTGTGTTATTCTAAGCACAGGAGGCACTCAACAAAATGTGTTCAATACCCATCAATATGCTTTGTTCCCACTGGGATTGTTTGTTTTTATATGGAAGGCTCTAAGAACAAGAGCTAAACTACAAGATCATTGTAAAACAGTGATCGGTAGATTAGCGTCTCTCAAACACTATTACTCACCACAGAACTTGTACTCTCATGGCATGGAGTCTTGGATGAAATTAGGATGGCTTAAGCTACAGTCTCTCTTAATGCTAAAAACGTATATGCTACCCCAAAATACATCTCTATTTGTTTTAACTTGAAAATCATTTTCTCCAAAATCTTGAAGTGAAATTGGTACTCCAGGATGATAACCATGTGAGTCATGTGATTCCAGATATATTTTGGCTTAACCATACATGGGTCTAAGAGGCATAGTACAAGATGATCTCTGAAGGACTCATTTAGCTCTAAAAATCATATGCAAAAGTAATGTTAGCCATAGCCTTACTAATTACTAGATTTAGGAGCTAGTTTCCTCATGATTCAGGATTATAGCTAAGGTGAATCAGTTCAGTTCAGATCAAGAACTATTATTATATGGCAGGTTTTGTGCTAAGCCATGGGAAGTTTAAGGTGAAGCAGATAAGATCTCTGCTTTTGAGGTACGTATGGTCTCGTGAGTAAGGCATGTAAATGTGTAATTTTCATATGACAAGCTAAGTGATAAAAATCAAGATATGTATAAGATACTATGGTAAAACAGAAAAAGGTGGAGGGAATAACATGAACAAAATGTATACTATAAGGTTTGTGGTGGGAAGAAATGGGAAATGAGGCTCAAGGGACAGGCTAAGAGCCAGGTTCTGGGTATATGCCATGCAAAGGGGCGGAGTACATTGGTGTGGTGGTTAGTCAATGAAATATTTTAAATTTTATGGTAGTGTAGTCAGATTGTAAGATCTGTAAGCAGATGACTCTAGTAGCAGAATGGAAGGAGGATTTATGGAAGGCATGATTATAAGCATTACAGTAGTCAAAGCAAAAGACAATAAGAGCCTAAATGAGATAACTCTTGTAGGAACAGAAAGGAAATAGAACACCAGAAAATTTGGAGAAACAAAATAAGCAGAGTATTTTAGTCTCTCGTGAAATTGGAATACTGCAGGGCAGAGTGGAGGATGAGGGGGTGTCTAGGATGAGTCTTAGGAATCTGACTTTAGGAGTGACTGAATGTTAAGCGGTTACCTGAGTTTGAGATACAGAACAGAAGCCAAACTGATGGGGAAGGAAGATGATGAATTCAGGTTGGGACATGTTGACTTGAGATGTCTAAGAAGAATCTGTGTGTTTGTGTGTGTGTTGGTTCAGCAGGTAGTTAAATATATGAGTCTGAAACTCCGGGAAGAGGTCAAGGCTAGAGATAAGAGTCATCAGTGTGCAGATGGTTATTGAACTATGGGTGTGTGTGTGTTCTTGCAAGAAGAAGATATATAGAAGAACAGTGGACCAAAGTCTGCTAGTGTTTAAGAGACAGGACAGGAGTCAAAGGAGAGGAAGTCAAAGTAGAGGAAGAAGATTACAGAAGATGAAGAGAGCCAGGACAGAAGAGTATCATGAAAGCCAAAAACAGAAGGTTAATTCCAAAATTAAGTGACTAAGTGACATCTTCAACTGGAGCAGCACAAGAACAGAAGAGAGGTCTATTTACATGATATATTAAAGACTTCATTGAAACAGTATGAGGAACATTTGGTGACATCTATGAATCATTTCATTGTCATGGTGGTGAAGGAGGAGCAATTAATGGAGAAAGCAGTTGTATTTCCAAGTTTTTCCAAGAAATTTAAATGATTTCGACAGTGTTTGATTGCATTACACAAAACCATCGAAATTCCTTTCTATCCAAAGAAAATTTCATGTAAGTGGTAATTTATTTCAGTAATTACTGACTTGTCAAAGAATTTTAATATTAGAAATTGTTTTTAATTATCTATAAGTAGACCTATTATCAAAGGTATTTTGGCTCTGGACTAGGGGAGATGGTGAGAAAAAGATCCACGTATTTTGAGAAAAAATATACATATATAAAGTTGAAAACTTTGTAAAACTATATTTTGTTTGGAGATAATATATGTAGTAAATATGTAGCAAGTATATAGTAT